TATATAACAGCTGCCTATTACGTCGTAGCGTTGGCGGACAGCCAATGAGATGGACCGACGACCTGGACAAAGTAGCTAGCAGGAATTGGATGTGAAAGGCAAGAGACCGAAAACAATGAAGTACATGTGAAGAGACTTACACTCAGTATTGGGTGGACTAGAGTTGAGGAAGAGAGCCGGTGCCTCTTTAAGCCGGCCATACCGATATTTCACGGTAGAAGCTATATCACCAATGAGTACCATACAGATAAATTTATATATGGAAACATAAATTGGTAAACATTATGTGATCCCAAAATATCAACATTACCAAAATAAAGATGTCGATCAGCTACGGTAACAACTCGATATCAGACATGCTTGATAATGCACAACGAAAATCGATGTTTTAAAATTTAATATACTCACAATTAAAGTGAATCTCATGATGAATATGCGTCGAAAAAACTACACAGCCTAACTATTTAGATCAACAAACGTCCTTTATATACAGAGCAATTATACTGAACTAAAAGAATTAATTCCGAAATTAACTGACATACTTCATGTATATTAATTAGCCTTTTAAGTACGTTTTTAAACGACTTCAAACCAAAAAGAAGGAGATTGTCGATTCGGGTTTTTTTTTTTTAAGTTGACTCGATCGAGACATAATTTTGAAGTCGTCGTGGCCTAACGGATAAGACCTCCGATGCATTCGTGCTGAGCGATGCACCGGTGTTCGAATCTCAGGCTGGTACCAATTTTTCTAATTAAATACGTACTCAACAAATGTTCACGATTGACTTCCACGGTGAAGGAATAACATCGTGTAATAAAAATCAAACCCGCAAAATTATAATTTGCGTAATTACTGGTGGTAGGACCTCTGGTGAGTCCGCGCGGGTGGGTACCACCGCCCTGCCTATTTCTGACGTGAAGCAGTAATGCCTTTCGGTTTGAAGGGTGGGGTAGCCGTTGTAACTAAAACATGAGACCTTAGAACTTATATCTCAAGGTGGGTGGCGCATTTACGTTGTAGATGTTTATAGGCTCCAGTAACCACTTAGCATCAGGTGGGCTGTGAGCTCGTCCACTCATCTAAGCAAAAAAAAAAAGAAAAAAAAAAGTGTAACTACTGTAAACTAGATTAGACTAAATAAAGATTTCGCCATTTCAGTGCTCATAAATGACTGTATTATCACAAATCGAGTTGAAATCTCGCAGTTTATGGGGAGTACTCACCGGCAGGCAGAGCCTTGGCTCTGTGCGCTTACTATCAGGTGGGCAGTATGTTCGTCTCTCTACAGGGGAATCAAAAATGTCTTTACGCCCCAAGGAGTTTACTGGTATGCCAAACGAGAAAAAATAGAGTTTTAGTACAATTTTTTAAACAAATGGACTAGTCCGCACGGGTAGGTACCATCATCATCTTACCCTTGTTTTTCTGCCGCAAATCGGTCATGTACTCCGATTTAAAGGATGGGGCATACAATTGAGACCTTGCCTCGAGTCCTTAGGCGCGTGGCAGTATTAACATCGTGATGCCTATGGGCTCCGGTGGCCATTTAACACAAAAAAAAATCCTCTGTTCCAGGGAGACAAAGTCTTAGAATCCTAAATTCCATCCGTTACGTGCCGCTACCAACATCTGCAGACCAGTCTCACATGCCACGTGCGCCCTCTATAGTAGGGGAGTCCACGATGCTAAATGGGGAGTTACTCGAGCGTCATAGAGACCTATTGGGTTGCAAAGCTTAGATTATAATAAAAAAAAGTCATAATATAATGTATACCTTTTCATCGGTGGGGGAAAGGGCTATAGATTTTCAAATTTATAAAAAAAAACTGTTGCATGGCCATACTCGAGCGCGTCAGATATTGATAGCGTAAATGTCCTACGTACTTTTAATAATGTATGTAGTTAATTTTATGGGGGTGGTCGTAGGTAAGGGTTGAAAATGAAAAAAAAATTCTTATCGAGCGCGTCAGATTTTATTAGGGGGTCTTAAGTGAACCTTAAATAAAGCTGAAAGGGGAATATAGGCATTACGCAGCTGCACGCATTCAACTTTATCGACGAATTTTTTGTTATTTCGGCTTGAAGAAATCGTCAGATTATATATTTTTCGTTATCCTTGAATTATTTTATTCAAAATAAATAAAAATTGAGCCCCGCTCGACAATGTCTAGATGACGTTCTTTTTTTACAGCTTTGTAGCCCTCCCTTTTCTTTACGTCACTCTCAAATTGTCAGATTAGTGGAATATACACTTTTTAGGATGTAATTAACTCACCCTACCATAATCTGACGCGCTCGAGAATTTCTGATGATCAATTTTTTTTTACTATACTGAGCCTTTATCCTGGACGCGCGGCCTTATTTATGAGGTTCATATTTGGTGGAGCTATTTAACCGGGTACAAGGCATCCCCCTGTATATTAATTTGCCGCGCTTTAGTAAATCCCGAAATCCCCGCTTGGGCTCCCGTACTACTGGGTATAAGGCTCTCGTAGGAGGATCGGCCCCCGGCCCGAATAAAGGGGGCTAAAAAAAGGGAGCCAAAGTTTTATATCCCTGCAGCCATACTCAAAGTTTCTCGTCTACCTAGTCCTATCGCCCATCTACATAAATAGAGCAATTATAATAAAATAAAAGCCAAATTTCAAAGCCAATGAATAAATTAAGATTAAAATAATTGCCGAATAAATTTTAGTATGCTAAATAGTGCATTACTGTTAATTCGACTAAGAATCGGCACACAGCCAATAAGTACGTAAGAGTGTTTATCTGTTCACCGTAAATTAGGTTTTTAATTACTAGTATCAAACGCCATTCGTTTGTTGCGATAGTATTTACAATTTATATACATGTGTCACCCCGCAGTTTCGACTGTGTTAAATTTGGAATTAACAGCCTTAATGTATATGAAATATAATATAATATAAATATAATAATTTAATTGATTTACAAATTAATATTCAATTCGCTCATTGCTTGCATAACGTAAAGTATAAAATCGCAAATAATTTTGTATTGTGCTTCAGCAGTATTATTTTTGTGGATTTCTATAAGGATAATTATAATCGATTTTAAAAGCAACTTTAATATCAGGCATTTTGGATTAATTTTATGTCGCAGTTCTTTGACATGTGTACCTAATATTGGCAGTTTTATTCAAGAACATAATACTTTACTAACACAATAATCAGTTCATATAATGTTCCGATTATATCAAGTGAATTATCGTTGATTTAGTGATTAGACAATGTCTTCAAAGTTTAAAGCTATGTCTCGGGAGTTGGAATAGTATTTTAATATTTAGAATTGAAATATTTATGTAATTAATATATTTTTCCCAAATTTTCAACAAGGATTTTCGTCATGAACATGCTTTCATTAAACTTTAAATAAATTCTATTACATTTACACAATGGTGTACTTATTTTGAAACCGTATCTTTTTTTATGTATATATCGTGAAAACATTTCATTCGTAATATTTTCTACAGCACATAAATTTAAATTTTGTTCACTTCATTTAAAACAGCTTATTACAAAATTATTCAAGTAAATTCTTTTCGTTTATTTTGTAAGTTGGTTTTGTGGACTATACTTATATTATATCTTTACAATAATAAAAATAATAAAAAAACCTCGAAATAGGAGTTTACTACAAGGTGGGCCAAAAGAAATCACCCTATTGGAAGATGGTCTTATTTTTGCAAATCGTCGCCAATGTCAAATCTGTTTTGATATTTGTGGACTAGACAGGTGTAGAATACAAGTGAACAAGCCATGGATCTGTACACTCCCCAAGAACGCAAAATAATCGTGTCTATTTTTTTTCGCGTAACCATTCGTGCCTCACAATTAGCCATAAGCCGGTCGTCCCTTAGGCGAATTTTGGTCAAAGACCTGCGCAGGTTCCTGTACAAAGTCCAGTCCGTGCATCAGCTGCTGGTTGTCGACCGCCAAACGCGTGTAACCTACGCCCAAGCCATCCTCAATCTCAAGGACGAAGTGGAGGAGTCACGCTGGAGGAGTCATCGTGGATTTTTTTTCGATAACGACAATAATGGACGGTGCGTGCTATAGGACCAATTAGGACTGGAGGACATGTGGTTCCAACAGGACGGAGCATTGGCACACAATGCGCGAGCCACAACCGATATTCTGAAGGCGGCGTTCCCGGGTCGCCTTATCTCTCGATTTGGCGATTTGCACTGGCCCGCAAGATCTCCCGATTTAACCGTTCCAGACTTTTTTGTGGGGTTTTTTGAAGTCCCGGGCTTATGTGAACAAGTTCGAGACCCTTAAGAACAACATTCGACACGAGTGCGAGAATCTGTCCCCCGAAGTTCTTGCCGAAGTTATGAAAAATGCCATAAAACGAGCCCGAGTACCTTTTTTTTTTTTTCGGGTAGAGGGCCGAACCTCCTACGAGGTCCCCGCGCGCCCCTTTTGCGCAGGGATATGTGAGGCTCAACGGTCTGCATGGTGTTGTGAGCAGACCGCGGGCCCAAGGATTTTAGGGCCCACCCACTAAACGACTCCCCTGCACTCTTACACCCGACGTCCGATCCCCTCCGAGGCCAGAACCCGGATGGGGTAGGGGGGGCTACCGCAGTCAACACTACAACCAGACGGCGCGGCTCACCCCAAGGACGCCCAGCCCACGGAGCCTTCGAGGCGAATCGAAGGCTCTGAAACGTCGGCCGTTCCGGTACGACAGCCCGTCAGGCCACCCGGATGGTGCCGCTGGTGTCCCGGAATACGCAGCTGGAACAGAACCAGCCTGCCGGGTCGGGACGCGATACATCGTCGACCGGTCGCTCTATTTACTCCATGGCAGCGCGCTAGAGTGCTGGTAGCGCGCCGCGCGGCCTCTACCCCCTCAGGTCGCCCCTTGACCTTCACCGGAGGGAGGCCGCTACCTACAGGGGCCGAGACGTACGGGCGTATTCCCGCCTCCGGCCCCTGGCTCGACGGCGACGGATCGGTGCGGAAAGGGAAGAGCTCTACCTCTCTCGCTCCGCCGCCTCCTTCTGCGAGATGGTGGACTCGCAGAAGTCGAGCATCGCCTTCCAGGATGCTTCGCTGCCGAGCATCGTAGCCACGACGCGCGGCAGTGAGAGGTCCTCTCCTATGACCGCGACGAGGGCGGCGCGTTGCTCGTCGACTCCAGAGCAACGCGCCAATGTATGTTCCGCTGTGTCTTCCTCGTCGCGGTCCGCGCAGTGTTGGCACTGCGCCGTCGGTTCCCTTCCAGCTATTTTGAAAAGATACCGATCAAAACAACCATGGCCGGTCAACATCTGTGTCAGCCGGAAGGTGAGGCATCCGCGGTCGCGGCCCACCCAGTCCGCGGTCGCGGCCCACCCAGTCCGCGAGAACCGGGCGGACCCACTCGACGGTACGGAGGCCGGCCGACGGGTTCGCCAAGCGGCGAGACCACGCCTCCAGCACGGACCGCCGAGATTGGAGCCTCCGCGCTCAAACTACACCTTCGCCGGGGTGCCCTTCCCCCCTAGAGCGGATGTCGCTACGCCACTTGTAATAGGATCTCGGATGGCCCTGACCGCGATCGCGCGCTGCGGACGTCGCAGCGTGGCAACGTTCTTGCGGGTCAGGGCCTGGCACCATACCGGAGCACCGTATAGTGCCATCGACCGCACCACCCCCATGTATAGGCGGCGCCCCGCTTTATCGGGACCCCCGACGTTAGGAAGAAGCCGGCTTATAGAGCCGGCCGTCGCCATTAGCCGAGGGCCCAATTTCTTAGATACAACCACCTTTTTTATTTCTGCCATCTAGCAGTAATGCGTTTCGGTTTGAGGAGTGGGGAGATTTAGAACTTATATCCCAAGCTGGGTGGCGACATTTACGTTGTTGACGGGCTTCGGTATCACATTTCTCTATTGTTTTATTCTTGACATTTCTCATGTTAATATGGGGAAACAAAACTGTTTCTAAATAAATTTTATAGAATTAAAGGTCGACAGCATCTGGAAGTTGCTAAGCCCAAAAAAATCCTTCAGTTGTGATCTTTCGGAATCCTTGTTTATTAATGTCTTGACAGCTGTTTTCCATATTCCCGAACTGAGGTTTTGCTCACGTACACGTTAAGTTGGGCTTTGGTAAGGATTTTCACTTGATCAGTCCATGAGGTCTTTTACCGTTGACCTTACCCTGAACAACAAGATTTCTCGATAGATTCTGCTGGCCGTCGCGATACGTGTCCAAAATATCGGAGAATCCTGGACTGCACTGTTGACCACAGCCTTGGAGAACTGTTAAGTTCCTTTGAGATCGAGGCGTTGGTGCGATGCTCAGTCCAAGATATACGATATACGAAGCATCCCTCACAGCACCGAATTTCTAGTACATCGATTCTTCTTATTTCTCTTTGGGTATATATATGTAAAAGGGTATGTAAAATCAATTTTATAACAACAGAAGAGTGTAATTATCGATTTGTCCTTATTTCGTAAACTAAATAACAACCAGATTTTTACCAATTGACAATTTATGGGTGGTATAACAACACAGACGACTCTACGATGTGACTTAATTATTTTCAAACAACGAATCGAAATTTGAATACTGAGCACACTGTAATATTTTGTGATTTCCATGCCCTAGTGTTCCTCATGTCGTATTTGTCGTCTTCGTCGAACCCGTCGCTTGCGACGAAGGGCTCGACGAGCGAATCAACTCATAGACACAGGCCACTGAGTTTCTCGCCTGACCTTCTCAGTAAGTCGCGTTTCCGATCCGGTGGTAGACTCTGCGAAGCACTGCTCTTGCTAGGGCCAGTGTTAGCATCACTCCGGTTTGAGCCCCGTGAGCTCACCTATTAGTTAAGGTACGCTGAAATAGCCTCTTAAGACTATCAGCTTAGGCATGAAAAAAAAAAAAAGTCGTATTAGCTTATTTTCTTTCTCGAGCATTTTGATTAATAATTTTCCAAATCCAAGTCGTCGTGGCCTAAAGGATCCAAGCGGATACCAATTTTTGTAATGCAATACGTACTTAATGTTCATGATTGACTTCCACGGTGAAGGAATAATATCGTGTAATAAAAATCAAACCCGCAAAATAATAATTTGGGAAATTACCGTGCAATCTTGCGAGTCCGCACGGGTAGGTTCCACTACCCTGCCTGTTTCTGCCGTGAAGCAGTACTGTCTTTCGGTTTGAAGGGTGGGGCAGCCGTTGTAACTATCCTGAGACCTTAGAACTCACCTCAAGGTGAGTGGCGGCATTTAGGTTATAGATGTCTATTTGCTCCGGTAACCACTTAACACCCATCCCATCTATGCAATAAAAAATAAATAAAAAAGTATGTCTCCGAAATTGGACATCGCTCGAAATGTCGACCCCAAGAATTCCATGATTTCATGTGAAATGTTGCTGGAAGACATTGCATACTTACATTACATTTTACATTGGGTTCGAGAATAGAGATGCGTAATGACATAAATTCATACTAATGGTGATAATTATACGTGCTAACTGGTTTATGAGAGGTATGTATAATATCTTTTCATAGCGCCTTATTGTGCACTTACCGTATGGCCTAATGCTTGTGATACTTTAAGTTTTCTTTTTCGTTCTTCCCACAATTGAGCCTGTCATCACCTTCTAGAAGAACTAATTAGTCGCCAAGTCAGGGAGAGAGAGAGAGAGAGATATCGCCTAATAAATAGCAACTAGATGACGGTAGGCCGTGCTCTCCGCTGGTTCGGACCCAGTGAGGTATCCAGTGGACGCATATGGTGCTAAATCGATTTTTGGTAGGTAGTATGGAACTGCCCACGCCAACCGACCGAGACGCTGACGACTGCTGATCCGGCATCTCCTGGGACAATGGCGTTAACTAGAATGACTCGCCGAGACTGAAATAGACTCACACTGCGGGCATCTAGTTACAATCAATTAAAATATAAAAGCAAAGGAAGGTAGGTGAGCATTTCTCATAATAAATGCACCACCAATAAAATAATGTACTAAAATAAAAATGTTAAACTAAAGCATTTTTTTTGTTTTCATTTGTAGATAGGTGTCTATAGATTTTGAATATGAGGTTTGTTCTGAGGTTTAATATGTAATAAAGTAGAGAAATGTGCAGAAATATACCAAGGGCGGAGAAATATTCTTATTTTGTTACCGTCTATCAATTACGTTAATTAAAACACCAAATCAATTTCGTCAACTTTTATGCATTTCAATAGGGTGACATAACCATCATTTTACGTGTCTATAAAAAAACTGTTAACATTTACAGCAAAATGTTACTTATATAAGTTGTAATATATCCTTTACGTTACCATTTGCCCACAACTTTGTTTTAAAATCACAGTAAAGAAGTTTTGATGTTGTTTTATTTTTAAATACGTTCACAAATGAAATAACAATACACTTCTCTTGCTTTTTTAAAAAAAATTGCATGTTTTAAGATAATAAATAAAAATTTTGAAAAGAAATACGTGTCCGCTTTTATGGGACAGTAACAAAAATGGAATATTGGTAACAAACTAGGATTTTATAAGGCTAGTTTTCGAAGTAGTTCAAATTATAATAAACTTTGACCCGTGTTAAAAATAATTATAATTATATTTATATATGTAGATTATAGTATGAACTGCTGTCAAAGGACATTTAAACATTTTTCGTTTAAAAANCAAAGAGTTCGCCGTGCAACCTAACCCATGAATCAGCTCGCTGAGTTTCTCGCCGGATCTTCTCAGCGGGTCGCGATTCCGATCCGGTAGTAGATTCATTCGCGAAGCAGCTACTCTTGAGCTGTTAGGTCTCCTTCGGAGGCGCTCGGGTAGCTGTTAGCAAATCACACCCCTCCTGGCTGAGCCTTTGCTCGCCCACCTGTCCTGGTGAAACTGGAAAGGCCTCCGGGCCACCAGTAATCCTTCAATCATAAAAAAAAAAAAATATTGACGTCCACGGTGAAGGAATAACATAGTATAAAGCAAAGTCGCTTTCTCTGTCCCTTCTTTCTTTGTCCCTATGTATGCTTAAATCTTTAAAACTACGCAATGGATTTTGATGCGGTTTTTTTTAATCGATAGAGTGATTGAAGAGAAAGGTTTATAATTAGAGAAAGGTTTATAATAACATCCATGAAATAGTGGAGAAATCAATAATAAATTACAGTTTCCGAAGCGTAGCGAGGGCGGGTCGCCGCTAGTCATGTAATTAAAATCAAACCCGCAAAATTATAATTTGCGTAATTATAACGACCACTCCGGTGACCACTTAACACCAAGTGGGCTGTGAGCTCATCCACCCAGCTATGCAATAAAAAAAAAAAGGCTCCGAAATTGGACATCATTTGAAATGTCGACCCCAAATATCCCAATACTCGTGGAAGGTTTCCGGGATACATTGCATAGTTACATTACATTTTACATTGGGTTCGAGAATAGACATGCGTAATGACATAAATCCATACTAATAGAAATATATTAAACGTGCTAACTGGTTTATGGGAGGTATGTATCTTTTCATAGCGCCTCATTGTGCACTTACTGTATGGCCTAATGCTTGTGATACTTTAAGTTTTTTTTTCGTTCTTCTCCCAATTGATCATCATCTTCTAGAAGAACTAATTAGTCGCCATGTCGGGGAGAGAGAGAGAGAGAGAGAGAGATATCGCCTAATAAAGAGCCACTAGATGACGGAAGGCCGTGCTCTCCGCTGGTTCGGACCCAGTGAGGTATCCAGTGGACGCATATGGCGGCAAAAATATGTGATTCTTTTTGACGTGACAACGTCTTATAATTCGATGGAGCCGGCTGCATGCACGAAAAAACATAATTCATGCGGCGTTACCTCGCTCTCAGGCGTTCCGTTTAAGGCTTGAAGTGCAAGCGAGAGCGCGCAACGAGCGACAAAGATGCACAATCGGCCTCCGCGTTCGGCAGCGTTCGACATGTCTCTCTCCTACTTGAGTGAGCGATGCATCCGCGTGGACAGCTTCTATACAATAATACATTTACATGTTTTCGTCAAGTATGAAGTTCAGTGAAAAGTGAATGTGGTGTCAATTGTTTATAGCAACGATATTTGCGATAATTGAAAAATGAAACCATTCCATCCTACGAATAAATAATCCATCAGTATTTTCTTATGACGTTGTCACGTTCAACTATCGTCAGTAAAACGACTTTACAGACAACCGATTTTTTTTTTGATATGACATACAATTATTGACTTAAAACCTATCGCATGGACCCGCCGCTTGTTTCTCATCTCAATATATTTTTCATCATCATCCATCGATCGATGATCATTCTCGTCGTTGTGCAAGTGT